TATATATTTTCTATTATAGTAAACACTTTACACCTATATACTCTTAGGTGTGCAAGGTTAGGTTTTTATAGTAATATTACTATTCTATTACTAAAGGTAACTTATATAAAGAATATTTTGTATAGTGTTTTCTAATAGTTTGCATAGTTTAGTGTTTAATTGTAGAGGTATACTGCTGCCCTTGTAATTTCTGGCCACAGTTCCTAGTAGAGGTTAGCATTAAGTTGCATTGCGCAAGCTTTCTCCTTGTTCACACCCCCTAAGCGTTCTGCGTTACTATTCTGTGCTTGTATGTCTAGCGCTAAAGGCTCTACAATAACTCCTTGTGTTGCTAGCCATTTTAATATATCTAGTTTAACTGAAGCTATCTTGTTATCTACCTTAATAGTCTTAACTAAGATATTATAGTAATTTTTTAAGAAAAGAATAAATATTAATAGTGCCTTAATAATTAACTTTACTGTGTAATAATATATAAAGTAGAGGTCCTACTATAGGCCTAAGAACCTATTAGTTATAAGTATCTAGCTCTTTTCTTTAGTAACTCCTTATACTTTATAGGAGTAGAAGTTAATACTAAGTCTTTCTCTAGGTCTGTTATTATTAATTCTTAGTGTGTAGCTAATTTACTATTATAATTTAGCTATTCTATAAGTATTGTATTTAACTATAGTAATGCCTTAGATCTACACCCCCTAAGTCTGCTAGACAATGTGTTTAATTGCAGCAGGACTAGGGTAACTAAGTTACTTATGCTACTATATTACTAAGGCCTTCTATACTCCTCTCTTAGTGCATATAGTAATTTTGTGTGTGTAGTTAGTAGCTAGTAGGGATAGTTTATACTTAAGCACCTACTAGCTAAGTATTTTTAATACTACTCTAATTACTTAGCTATTTACTTATTAGAGAGTTATTAGGTCTACTTATGTGTCCTACTATATACCTCTGTTTTATAGTAGGCAGAAGGACACTAGGTTGTATAGTAGGTCTAGGCAAATTGCCACGTCTGTGAGGGTAACCTTAGTTGTCCTAGCTCTACTCCTTAGGAGTAGATTAATTAATCTATATCCTCTAACTAGCACCTTAGAATTCCTAGCCTATATAAAGTCTCTAGGCAATAGCTGTTAGAATATATAGATATAGTTAGGGTTATTAGTAATATAACAGGTAGAACCTAAGTTAAGTATAAATAACTTCTATAGTAGATAGTTAGCAGCATCCTGTTAGTTTACTGTGCTAAGCACTGCTTTAATATTAGCAATTTCTTAGCCCTCTAGTAAATAATCTAGGATTTCTAGAGTAGGGTTGTACAAGTGCTTTACTACTAGTATTCTTAATCTACTCTTACTTTATGTGCAAAATAGCTCTAAAAAGGTAATATCTTTCTTATACTTAAACTTAATAAGTTTAGAAATAATCTTATTTAGTTTCTACTACTTAGGAGCTCTGTCTTAATTAATATAGTAGTAATCCTATATAGAGTAGTGTTGTCTATATATAGGGCATTTTGCTCCCCTAGTAGAAGTAGGCTCTTAATCTAAAGGCTGCTTAAGTGAAGTAGTTTTCCTACCTACTATATATTAATATTAAGGTCTACCCTAGTTAGATAGCATGCTTACAGCATATTAGGCGTCCCCTTTATAGCTCTAGGAGGCTGCACCCCCTTTAGTAAGAAATACTATATTATTAGCTATAAAGGCCTTATACTGCCCTAATCTAAGGGGATAATTTATTATTATATACTCTTAGTAGTGTTTTATTATCTCCTTCTAACTTATACTAGATTTAAAGTGTCTGCTATCTTAAAAGCTTGTAGCCTAGAAAGGTGTAACCCTATTTATAGCTATTAGGAAGTCCTTTGTTATTATTTTTGTCGCAGCAGATATCATGCCTATTTACCAGCCAATTCAGGGGTGCAAATGCATGTACATTTTGCCTCTATTTTAGCTGCAACAGTTATAAGCCTAGACGCTGAAACTGCGCAAGCAAAGATTAAATAGATTTTCGTGTTCTATAGGTGACTATAGCCAAGGGTCTTAGCATAGTACCTGCTCTGTTGGCGTGCTATCTGCAGCAATAGAGCATCACAAAGAAGGATTCATCTATTACTTAGCACATTAGGTATTCTACTGCGTTGTGTTACCTCTAATTATGCTGTCCTAGTTAGACGTGAGGGGGTGTGTTGCAGCAGATATCATGCCTATTTACAAGCTAATTCAGGGGTGCAAATGTATGTACATATTGCCTCTATTTTGGCTGCAACCATATTTAATTATAATAATTTAGTAACTTTGTACATCTCTACTTCTGTAGCTGCCTAGTTATACTTAGCTAGCTACATATCCTATTATAACATGCTTCTTATTAGCTTAAGTGCTAAGAGGTATCTATCTTAGGCTTATTCTTGTTTAATTTGTTTATTAACCCTAATAGTAAGTTGTAGGTCTATAATCTACTATTATAGTAGTTTCTTAGGAAGACAGTTTGTGTGTAGTAGATATAGTAATATAGTTAACTTAATAAACATAATAATATGCTAAAGGCTTACTTCCTTCTTCTTATATTTATATTAATTATTCTTATATTATTTAAGGAGTACTTTATAGTACTTAAGGTCTTTCTTAAATGCCTTCTAGCCTATTATTAATAGCTTAGTTAGCCTTAATAGTATGTTAGTGTTTATAGCTAGCGCATAGTTAGTAATAGTTAGAGCCCTTAGCAAGAGTAGCTTTAATAGTAGTAGTGTAGTTGTCTTTAGGTTAATCTTGTCCTAGATATTGCGCGACAGGCATCTTGCATGTAGCTGCGCGAGCTAGCTAGTCTAGTTGGCTTCGTCCCTAAGGACTGTTGTTAGGTCGCGGTATGCTGGTTGCGCCATTTTGATTGCGGCAGTTCAGTTGCAGCAGTTTAATTGTGGCAGTTTAGTTGCGGCAGTGAGACTCTTAATTGTCAGATTCTCGCACTGTGAGCCAGAGTATGTGCTTAACAAGATCTTAGGTGGTATAATAATTTATTAATAATTGTGGCGATAGTGTCTCTGCCGTGGTGTCGTGCTGGTTGCTACAGGATTGAAGTGGGGGGGGAATTAGCGCTGTTCGCGGCCGCCTGTGTGCTGGCCAATCAGGAGTTGCCAGGTCTCGCTTAATCGACCTGGCAACTGCTGATTGGCTGCACGACAGGTCCCTGCTCGATTGCGCAGATCCGACCTCTCGCCGCTCGCTCTTATCTGACAGATAGACTAGCCCTTTGTACAGATGCCTTAGATAATGCTAGTCCACTCTTAGTCGCCCTGGTACACTGTCTTTAGTCTCCCTCAACGCTCGGAGCCTGTGACAACAGCACTAGTGGATATAACACCCATCATAAAGCTAGATTTATCAAAGTTGTAGGTGTCTTAATCTAGGATACTATACTTAGCTGTAGTATTCTCTATAAGCTAGAACTAGTCACTAATTACCTTAGGATCCTTACACAGCGCTCTCTTGTAGTTATACTTATAAATAAATTTAACTTTAAGCTCTAGCTAATGTTTAACAAAGTTAGCAGCCTAGTTCTTGCTAATAGGGGTCTAGTGGCGCTTAGCAAGCAGAGAATTGGCTATGTCCTCTACATTAGTAAGTTAGGGTGAGAATCCTTGCTTGTCTAGCCTTAACACGTGCTAGACAATCACCTCCTCTATAGTGCTACTTATCTTAATTATGTTAAGCTTGCAATTACATTGTAGAGAGGTTCTTGCAAGTTAGTAACTAAGTGTCCTTTAAGACACGTTGTAGATTGCTGCAGCGCGTTGCTAAGAGAGTGTCGCGTCTTAATAGATAGCCTGAAGAGCAAGCTGTATTCCTGCTTCCTTTGAGGGTTTGATTTTGTTGTTACGTTGAGGCATTGTAGGTATAGTGAAGTTTGGTGTGGTCTTGGCAAAAGTGGGCCACTCGCTTATGTGAGCCACTCGCTTGTGGAGTACGTTAATCCGGTTACAAATAAGCTTATTAACCTCATCCCCATACGCCTTCTTCAGAGGGCCAAAACAACCCACGTCAAGTGGCTGCAGGAGGTGCGATAAGTGCGCAGGCATACATAGAGCTATAATCTTGTAATCCTTGCAGTATTGCTAGAATTCTGTAGAGTTGTGGCTCTTATAATTATTAAAAATTAGTATGTAGTAAGTACTAACAGTGCACGTCTTTATATGCCTGTTAAAGTGCTTTAAATAGTTAAACCTAAGCCTATTAGTAGTCTAGCTATTTTTAGAGATACTAATAACCTAGTCTTAGGGCAGGGTATTGTCCTTCTACTAGTAAGATAGGTGTTGGCAGGCTTTAAAGATATTGTAGGCTAGAATAGCCTATCCTGTGGCATTAATGACCTTAGTAATTGTCACCTACTCCTAGTTGCCTAGGTTAGATCTGCTTTGCTTGTCCTAGCTTCTCTACATCTATAACAACTACTCTAGTGCTTATCTAGCCTATTATAAAGCCTGTCCTGTTAAAGTTATATATGTTATTATCTAGGATACTATACTTAGCTTTAATATTAGATACAAGGGTAAACTAGCACTATATAACCTTAGAGTCCTTACAGAGGGCTTACTTATAGTTATACTTGCAAATAAAGACTATTTTAAGCTCCTTCTAACGCGAAACAAACGTGCTGGCCTACCTTAAGCTAACAGGGGCTAAACTGCGCTCTTTTTGCAGAGAATTGGCTATATCAGCCACAGCTGCGAGCTGGGGGGACTCTCCTTGCGTGACCAGCTTATGTACGCAACAACTACCTGCTCCTTAGCAGCAGTTAGATTCTATAAATTAGCTATAGTATTAACGCGTAAAGGTTGTCTAGTAAGTTAGTTGCGTAGAGTTGTTCAGGGCGCGCTATAGAGAGCTGCAGCACGTCTTACTAAGAGATTAGGGTCTTGTTAAAGAGCTAGTAGCGCAAGCTGTATCTAAGCCTCTTTAGACGCGTCTATTTGACGTAGTTGTGGAGGCAATGGTGTAGAGTTGATGTTTTGGTGGGGTCTTGGCAAAAGTGGGCGACTCGCCCTGGTGGGCGACTCGCCCTACACCGACGTTATTACAACAACTAACGTAGATTATCACCAAGCCAGCCATATCACCGAACCGGCCACTTTCTCTTGGCACGACCACCTTTTACCCTAACACAACATGCCTTAACAACAATAACTTTAGAATACTACTAGAGAAGGTAGAGTTATCCTTACTATCTAGGCCTTCTATGCTGGCTAATTTCGCAGTATCCACAGCGCTGCTAGAGCGTTGAATGTACCTTATTAGTAGGTCTCTGATTACCTTTGCAATATCACGTTTTAACTAGATATACGCGCTAATTGCTAGAAACTTACTATACTAGAGGAGCTGACAATTATCTAGTATATACTTAACCTTAATTCGTGAGGATTTGCACCCTAGCTATGTAAGGTGGCAGATATAGCTAATAAGATACTTAGTGTGCGTAGTGAAGAGCCTGTTGGTAAACTATAGGCTAGCAGGCTTGTGACGCGTTTAGACAAGCTTAAAATGGCCTTTAATTAAGCTAAGGATAGACAGAGGATACTATAGGAAGATCCTAAGATAATTAGTGCGTAGTTTAAGCTAGTAGAGGATACTTAAGTTAAGTATAGTGTTTGCAATAATAATATACACAACTTTAATAAAACTAGGTTCTAGATAGGTGTTGCTTTGTCTTTAAAGGTTGTAACAGGCTTAGAGAGACGTGCTCAGCCAGAGCTTGTTCAGCCAGGCAATCGCGAGTAGGTTACCATTATCCAGAGCATCTGCGCTGCTAGGTATGCAACCCTGCCTTTCATCATCTACAAAGGACGCGTCCACATCTCTGCCTAGTATAAGGAGACAGATATACCCTACAATTAGAAGCTTATAGTCTCTAAGAATAGTTAGATAAACAACACACTTAGCCTTAAGTAGTTAAAGCACTTTAACACGCATATAAAGACGTGTTAGGTAGGAGTGTATAGGCTGCTTATCTTAGACAGCTATAAGAGCTATCTTAACTAGAAGTTTAAGGACTATTACCTAGAGAACTAAATCCTTACTCTCTGTATACTACCTTACTTGTTGCACATCCTCTAGCTACTTAATATAGTCTATTTCTTGCTATTAAAGCGCAAGTACTCCTAATATATTTAAGACTTAGCATACTAACACATCTTCTATATTAATAAGGAAGGCTTCCTACTAGCCTTTAGGGACGTGTTCCTTAATATATTTACAAAGGTTAACTACTAAAAGGCCTTTAAGGTATTAGGGCTTATTCCTACTAACACGCAGGTAGTGTTAGATTGCCTTAAAGTGCAGCTGCATACCCTACTAGCAGTACCTCTACCTAAAACACTGTGGCAATCTAAGACGCTAAGCAATATACACAAGTTTAGGTCTTAATCTAAGCTTATAAGCAACTCCTTCTAATAATTACTAAGTGCAGCGCAAGAGGGGTTCTTAAAGCTTGTAAAAGGGGCTAAAGAGATACTGTACAAAAACGTCCTTATTAAGGCCTGCGTGTGAGAGCTTGAAGAGCAATTAGTAGTAATAACTAAGAGAAAATTGCGTAAGAGAAAGCAGATTTAGCATAGTGGCACACTTGAGTATAGCCTAGCAGCATTGCGGGTAGCTGCTAAGGCGTGTGTAGCAGCTTAGCTATCTAAGAAGACTTAGGGTAGAGGTAGTTAACTAGGAGCTTAGTTAACTGTTCAGCGCTGTAGGAACTGCAGCAAAACTAGACACAACACACAAACGTGCTAGGAGGGTGTAGAAACATCTTCTAAATCTAATGTAAGCACACAGTATACTAGGTCACTGTTTAATAGCAAGTAGTTGTAGTTGCAGTAACTTGTGTTAGTCGTGCCAAGAGAAAATGGCTAGTTTGGTGATATGGCCGGCTCAGTGATAATCTACGTTACAACTACCTTGCAATTTAATAGCAAAGATTTAATTATTCCTATCTAAGCGCCAGCTTAGACTATCCTTTAATAGAGAAACAGAATCCTTTAGCAGGATTAAAGTAGGAATTCTAGAAGGCAGCCCTGTCTTACCTATCCTGTTTCTAATATATATTAGACCTCTGTTTTAATCTATTACAAACTACTTTCTATCCTACCTGGTCAACCTAGTAATTACAGCATCGTCCACTAGCCTAAAGAAGAATGTCCGCATTCTAGAAAAAGACATAGGAAGCTGTCGCAGCAGATATCATGCCTATTTACCAGCCAATTCAGGGGTGCAAATATATGTACATTTTGCCTCTATTTTGGCTGCAACACAAGCCTATTTGCTGAAGGAGCAAGCTGCGCGCTATACAATCTGATGCAGCAAAGATAGAGCGTTCTAGTACGTCGTTGTCTTGGTGTTCTTTTGATACCTTGTAGATCGTTGCAGCACGTGGAATAGTAAGAGTCGCGTCTTGTTTAAGAGCCTAGATAGCAAGCTGTATATCTAATTCCTTTGAAGCGCTTTAAGACTTGTTTTGTTGAGACATCGCAGGCTGTATGAAGTTTGGTGTGGTCTTGGCAAAATCCGGTCACTCGCTCGGGCCGGCCACTCGCCCGTGAGGTAAGTTAGCTGCAAAGCTCACACTCTTGTTGTGGGCTGAGCTTTTGACGCGTGTAGTCCCCAACTTCACGCGACGCGCATACGCCTCGGTGCTGCCATGATAGGGTGGATCACGATACTAAGCTTTTGTCAGCAATTTTTGTGTACGAAAGCTCACCAGCTACATCTGCTGCGTCACAGGCTTCAAGCGCAGCTTCTAAATTCATGCCGTTGTGAAGTTATGGTGCTGAGGATATTGGTGTGTTATGGCGTTCGCGTGCACGGTCTCTGTATATGAGCTTCCGTTGACGCGCCCGACTTTTTTTGTTAGGGAAACATTACTTTAGTAAGGCTATTGCGGTGGGGTCTTGGCAAAAGTGATTCTCTCGACGTTATGTGGCTCTACAGCCTCGATTTGGTGATTGCCGTAAAGGCTCGGAACGATCGTTGTTGACTCCGATCATTGGGTGCACGGACACGGTACATAACTTGGCGCGCCTACCCGAGGCGACACTAGGCAGCACGCAGCTTCACTCTATCTGTGCCTGTGCTCCCTACCCTATCTCTTGCTTACACGGCGGCGTACACATGTCACCAGTAGTCACATATCCCTCTTGCATATATAGCGTAAGACCGCCATCCTGTCTCTACCACGTATCACCCGCAGAATGGCCGCCACGACCGCCAGACCAAGCGTCATTCCCCAGAAGGATCTCGAGAGCTTCCAGCAACACCTGAAGAAATCGACGCGTATCCTAGCACTTTTGGGCGCCGGTCTGTCAGCCTCTTCTGGCCTGCCTACCTTCAGAGGTGCAGGCGGCCTTTGGAGGACACACGATGCCACTTCGCTTGCAACACCAGAGGCTTTTAGCCGTGATCCCGGCCTTGTATGGCAATTCTACAGCTATCGCCGCCACATGGCTCTCAGTGTCAAGCCTAACTCAGCTCACTATGCCCTGGCCGAGCTAGCGAGAAGGAAGAACTTCCTCGCCCTAAGCCAGAATGTTGATGGTATGCTTCACATAGAACATTCGATTTGAAATAGTAAAATGACAGACTAGGTCTCTCACCACGCGCCAAGCATCCTGCAGAAAAGCTCAAGCTTCTGCATGGTTCACTCTTCGACGTCAAGTGCTCAGAATTCTTTTGCGACTACTTCGAGAAGAACAACTACACCGATCCGATCGTTCCTGCATTGGCTATCCCCACCGATGAATCAGACCCAACCACCAATGCAGCCCTCGCAGCTCGAGAGCTTGATATTTCCGATGCGAATGTGGCGATTCCCGAGCTCAATCCCGATCACCTACCCAGGTGTCCGAAGTGCAAGCGTGGTCTCCTGCGCCCCGGCGTTGTGTGGTTCAACGAGAGACTACCAAATGACGTGTTGGAAGACGTTGACGACTGGATGGACGAAGATGACATTGACCTCATCATGGTCATTGGCACAAGCGCGAAGGTCTATCCTGCCGCTGGCTATGTCGACATTGCGCGGCGCAAAGGTGCGCGAGTCGCTGTTATCAACATGGACAAGAGCGATGCTCCAGCCGGCGGCATGTATTCACGAGACTGGCTTTTTGAGGGTGACGCTGCACAAATCGTGCCCAAGCTCCTTAAAAGCGTGATCGGCGAGGTCAATACCGAAGAGATTCCAGACGCTGCGCAGTGACTCGAGCATGCGGAGATTCAGAAGAATCTGAGATTATTGCATGAGAACGACCTTTATTAAGAAGATTTGAAGCTTTGAAGTCAACGAAATGTAGCGCAGTGACAACGCGAACAATTTACGTCTTTATGGCCATCCTAATGCGAAAATCGTAAGATAATGACGCAAGTATACCGCACTATATAATATGTGTCCAAACCTACCATCACGTATATATTTTGACCAAATGACTTCGATCTGGGATACTTACAATCACTGAGTCCAGAGTCAATAATAACGTCGACTGCAAGTCCACCGAGACCATCGGTTTCCTGCTCAAGCTCGGGAGAGATGTGAGTCAGTGTTGCCCGCGGGTGCATATACGTCGGAGAAGGCTCGGGAAGCGGGGGAAGGCAGGTGCCAATAGCATCCGGTGGTTTTTGTGCTTGGGGTGGACTTTTTTGGCAAATCCGGATTTGGTATGGAGAATCAGAGAGGAGAATCAGTTCCATTGGTGTCAGAGGGAGACATTCTGTTGCGGTATCAGAGGCAAATGTAAAACGAGTAACGTAGATTATCACCAAGCCAGCTATATCACTGAACCAGCCATTTTCTCTTAGCACAACTAACATAAGTTACTATAACTACAACTAACGTACTCCACAAGCGAGTGACCGGCACAAGCGAGTGACCGGGTTTTGCCAAGACTACACCAACACTGTACCTACTTTGCAACATTACAGCACACAACAACAATATATTAACGTAGATTATCACCGAGCCGGCCATATCACCGAACCGGCCACTTTCTCTTAGCACAACCACCTTTTACCCCAACACAACATGCCTCAACAACAACAACTTTAGAATACTACTAGAGAAGGCAGAGTTATCCTTGCTATCTAGGCCTTCTATGCTGGCTAATTTTGCAGTATCCACAGCGCTGCTAGAGCGTTGAACGTACCTTATTAGCAGGTCTCTAATCGCCTTTGTAATATCACGTTTTAACTAGACATACGCGCTAATTGCTAGAAACTTACTATACTAGAGGAGCAGACAATTATCTAGTATATACTTAACCTTAATTCGCGAGGATTTGCGCCCTAGCTATGTGAGGTAGCAGATATAGCTAATAAGATACTTAGTGTGCGTGGTGAAGAGCCTGTTAGCAAACTATAGGCTAGTAGGCTTGTGACGCGTTTAGATAAGCTTAAAATGGCCTTTAATTAAGCTAAGGATAGATAGAGGATACTACAGGAAGATCCTAAGATAATTAGCGCGTAGTTTAAGCTAGTAGAGGATACTTAAGTTAAGTATAGTGTTTGCAACAATAACATGCACAACTTTAATAAAACTAGGTTCTAGATAGGCGTTGCTTTGTCTTTAAAGGTTGTAACAGGCTTAGAGAGACGTGCTTAGCCAGAGCTTGTTCAGCCAGGTGATCGCGAGTGGGTTACTGTTATCCAGAGCATCTGCGCTGCTAGGTATGCAACCCTGCCTTTTATTATCTACAAAGGACGCGTCTACATCTCTGCCTAGTATAAGGAGACAGATATACCCCACAATTAGAAGCTCTTAGTCTCTAAGAATAGTTAGACAAACAACATACTTAGCCTTAAGTAGTTAAAGTACTTTAACACGCATATAAAGACGCATTAGGTAGGAGTGTACAGGCTACTTATCTTAGACAGCTATAAGAGCTATCTTAACTAGGAGTTTAAGGACTATTGCCTAGAGAACTAAATCCTTACTCTCTATATACTACCTTACTTGTCACACATCCTCTAGCTACTTAATGTAGTCTGTTTCTTGCTGTTAAAGCGCAAGTACTCCTAACACGTTTAAGACTTAGCACGCTAACACATCTTCCACATTAATAAGGAAGGCTTCCTACTAGCCTTTAGGGACATGTTCCTTAATATATTTATAAAGGTTAACTGCTAAAAGGCCTTTAAGGCATTAGGGCTTATTCCTACTAACGCGCAGGTGGTGTTAGATCGCCTTAAAGTGCAGCTGCATACCCTACTAGCAGTACCTCTACCTAAAACACTATAGCAATCTAAGACGCTAAGCAATACACACAAGTTTAGGTCTTAATCTAAGCTTATAAGCAACTCCTTCTAATAATTACTAAGTGCAGCGTAAGAGGGGTTCTTAAAGCTTATAAAAGGGGCTAAAGAGATGCTGTATAAAAACATCCTTATCAAGGCCTGTGTGCGAGAGCTTGAAGAGCAATTAGCAGTAATAACTAAGAGAAAATCGCGTAAGAGAAAGCAGATTCAGCATAGTGGCACACTTAAGTATGGCCCAGCAGCATCGCGGGTAGCTGCTGAGGCGTGTGTAGCAGCTTAGCTATCTAAGAAGACTTAGGGTGGAGGTGGTTAACTAGGAGCTTAGTTAACTGTTCAGCGCTGTAGGAACTGCAGCAAAACTAGACACAACGCACGAACGTGCTAGGAGGGTGCAGAAACATCTTCTAAATCTGATGCAAGCACGCAGTATGCTAGGTTACTATTTAATAGCAAGTAGTTGTAGTTGCAGTAACTTGTGTTAGTCGTGCTAAGAGAAAATGGCCGGTTCGGTGATATGGCCGGCTCGGTGATAATCTACGTTATACTATACAGTATATAGAACTAGTCTATAGTACTCTGCGCATCTTTACTACATATTCGCGCGTTGTGCCCTGTCTCGCTACATGTGCCACAGCGCCTTAAAGACTGAGTGCTCCCATCAACGCGCGACCTCTTCTTTACCTTCTTCCCATCACTACAGGCCTCAAACTCCTTTAGAGTAGTTAGCCACACTCCCTCAGCAAAGGTTAGAGTCCCCTCTCGCTGTACTCGCTTCCTTTTGTGTGATTTACAACGTGTAGCGGCCTTGTTGGCTGCCTGTAGGTCAGCGACCTAGTTGCGCACTAAAACCAGTGAATGCGCTATTAGCTCTGCGCCTTTAGTGAGCAAATTAAGAGCGTTAACTATAGACGTTAGTAAGCTATTAGCGTGTCTCTAAATCCTCTCTTAAATTAGCTTTAATTAAGACCTAAATTCTAGCGTATTGCTTAGTGTTTTAGACTCCTACGTACTGTTGTCTACAGTAGGTGGCGTTGGCGTGCGCAGTTGTACTTCAAGCTTTGATATTACAGCTTCTAGGTTAAATAGGACTAGGCCAGCACCTCTAAATCCTCCCTAGATGTTACTCTCTGTAATTGAGGCGTCAAAAGCTGCTTTAAAGCATAGCAAGAACTCAAGTTTAGTAATACGCGTGATCTTGCTACGCATCAGCCGCTTGGCTTGGCGGCCATAGGCCTTCTTTAATAGAGAAAAACAGCCCACGTCAAGTGGCTGCAGTAGGTGCGACGAGTGTGGAGGCATACACAGGGTAATAATCTTGTGTTCCTTGCAGTACTGGTGGAATTCAACTAAGTTGTGGCTCTCGTGGCTGTCTAGAATAAGCAGCTTATAGCTGCCAACAGTGCGCGCCTTTGTGTGCTTATTAAAGTGCTTCAACTACTTAACTCTAAGCTTGTTGTTAGTCTAGCTGTTGTTAGAGACATTAAGAACCTAGTTGTTAGGTATACTAGGCTCCTTATACTAGGTAGAGAGGTAGTGCTTGCTAGAGAAGATAATAAAGGGTAGGATAGACCAGCCCTTCGCGCAGATGCCTTGGATAATGCTGGTCCACTCTTAGTCGCCCTGCTGCACTGCCTTTGGTCTCCCTCAACGCTTAGAGCCTGTGACAACAGCTCCTGTTAATATAACGCCCATTATAAAGCTAGACTTGTTAAAGTTATAGGTGTCTTTATCTTGTATACTATACTTAGCTTTAGTATTCTCTACTAGTTAGAACTAGTCCCTAATTACCTTAGGGTCCTTACATAGAGCTCTCTTATAGTTATACTTGCAATTAAATTTGACTTTAAGCTCTAGCCAACGTTTGACAAAGTTAGCAGCCTAGTTCTTGCCAACGTGGGGCTGGTGGCGCTCAGCAAGCAGAGAATTGGCCATATCCTCCACATTAGCAAGCTGGGGCGAGTATCCTTGCTCGTCTAGCTTTAATACATGCTGGACAATTACCTCCTCTTCAGTACTAGTCATCCTTATCATGTTGGGCTTGCAATTGTGTCAAGAGAGCTTTCTGTCGCGTCGTCGTCGTAGGGTGCTTTCTAACACCTTATAGATAGCTGCAGCGCGTGGCACAGTAAGATTCAAGTCTTGTTAGATAGCCTGGAGAGCAAGCTGTATGTCTGCTTCATTTAACAGCCTCTTCATGTTATTTTGTTGAGGTATAATAGGCAGAGTGAAGTTTGGTGTGGTCTTGGCAAAACCCGGTCACTCGCTTGTGCCGGTCACTCGCTTGTGGAGTACGTTACTTACTATTAAATAGTAACCTAGTATACTGCATGCTTATATTAGATTTAGAAGAAGTTTCTACACCCTCCTAGCACGTTTGTGCGTTGTGTCTAGTCTTGCTGCAGTTCCTACAGCACTAAATAGTTAATTAAGCTCCTAGTTAACTACCTTTACCCTAAGTCTTCTTAGATAGCTAAGCTACTACAGACACCTTAGCAGCTACCTACAATGCTGCTAGGCCATACTTAAGTGTGCTACTATACTAAATCTGCTTTCTCTTACACAATGTTTTTTTTAGTTATTACTACTAACGTAAAGCACCACCGAGCCAGACAAACCACCAAGCTGGACACTTTTTCTTAGCACTGCAACTTTTCTATACAACACAATATGTAATAACAACGCAAGTAGATATTAACTTAGTAAGAAGGTAGAATTATTCTTGTGCTTTAGGCCTATACCTTAGAATAATTTAAGAGCGTATAGAGTGCTGCTGCTACCTTTAAGGTACCTATCTAGAGGCTTTCTAATTAGCTAAACAAAATTATATTTTAATAAGAAGCTGTCGCAGCAGATATCATGCCTATTTACCAGCCAATTCAGGGGTGCAAATGTATGTACATTTTGCCTCTATTTTAGCTGCAATAGTTATAAGCCTAGACACTAAAACTGCGC